TCTCTCTCTCTCTCTCTCTCTCTCTCTCTCTCTCTCTCTCTCTCTCTCTCTCTCTCTGATAATTTGAATGCAATTTACTCGGCAAAGAGAGAACCTATTCAATGAAATGAAATACTGATTGAATTTATGCTAGCACACATGTGCTCGCTTGTTTCTCTTTGAATGTATGTGTTTGTATGTGCGCGCGTGTATATGATCGATCGATTTTTTTCTGATGAAAAATGCACTCAACCACATTCGTATATACATATCAAGTTAAATCCGACTCATTGAATGTTTTTTCCTCCCCCACCAACCCCCCCCCACCTATCTTTCTACCTCATTCTCTCTCTCTCTTTCTTTATTTCTTTTTTTTTTATCACTTACATATAACAAATCAAAGACCGATACGTCATCGATAACTCAGAGAGCTTACCATAGCTATTGTTGAAAGCCTTCGAAATATCAAGTCCCATAAGATAATACCAAATGGGATAAGATGAAAAAATGTGATCATTTATTTTTCTTAATCCTCTCACTGATGATTTCAACTTTCTTTTTCTTTTTTTTTTCTCTCTCTCTCTCCTTGTCCCCCCTTGTGCACTAACCAAACACTCTAACGCGAAAAATATATTTATTAAGATTGTTTTCCAACCACAAATTTGTTATTTTTTTGTTTTATATTATATAAATTTGATATTTATTTATTGTATTTTGTATATGTTATTTTTGAATGAAGTAAAATTAAAAGTAAAAATTATTGAAAAAAAAAAAAGAATAAATAAATAAATTATGAAAAATGTTTCTACGATTTGTTATATGAAAACAACAATATATGATACAAAGGGGAATAAGTTAAAAAAAAAATATATAGAAGAATAAATGAAAGAAACGATTTGACCGGTTAAAATCCTAAAGCAATACTAAATGAAAAAGAAAAATCGTTGAATCATTGTGAAACGTGTTATGAATATTCACGATCAACCTTCACCGTTGTTTGTTGTTTTAAACTGCATCGTTAATCGAGTCGCATGAGCGAGTCGTCGATCGAATTTCTTTATGACGGGATCTAGAATTAACAATTACTATTATATATTGTCCATATGTATAAGAGTACATGTATGAATAACTATGCGAAATAATTAATTTCTTTCTTTTTGTTTTGTTCGCGTAATTTGAATAACCGATTTAAACGAGGGAATAGTTTTCGTGTTACAAAATAATCGACGAGACAAACACGGGTGGTGTATGTTTTCATCGCTTTCATCATCATTGTTTCTTTTTTTTTTTTATTTTCTTGTATTTACTTATATTGTTTTACGAGATTTTCGTGTTCCTAACGCGACACACACGATACTCAATGAATTACGAAACAATATAAATATGTGTATTTCATATAAATAAATATAAATTTCAAGTGCTAATGCATTCGTATAAACTTTTTCTATATCAACGAAAACACTTTTCTGTTTATTATTTGATATATCCGATGAAAAGATAAAAAACAATCCCCTTTTCTTATTTCCGAAAAAGAAAGGAAGAAAAAAAATGTTTACCACTCGAAATAAATCTTCAAATGCATTGAAAAAAAATATCTTTTCTCGAAAATTAGTTTTCGAGAGATAGAAGAACAATTTTATAAAATAAATAAAATTAAAAACTGTTGAAATATACCTATGATGTTCCTTTTTTCGATTAAGCAATCCTTCCTCAAGAAAAGTAGCAATACTCTTTCAAATTTACTCGCGTATGCATGAACTATTTATACATACATACATACACATTTTTTGAGCAATGTGTTCATTTTTTTTATACTTAGAAATACCTGATCATCGGTTTTACGTAACATCCGTCGTTGTTTACGTTCCCAAACAAAGAAAGTTTCAAATTTCAATGAGATCCTATACACACACACAGATTTAAGTTACAGGAAAAATTCGAAATAAAACGTTTAGTGAAAACCGATCCATCGTTCTTATCTACGGCCGTGTAGAAACTAACATAAGCTTTTCTTCTTCTTCTTCTTCCTCTTTTCTTTTCTTTATTCATCCGCTCAGCGACTTACCAACACACAAACTTAAAACCACATTCGTATCATCACCAATTATATATATATATACAATTACTTGCATACATATCAAGATAGAAAAAGATCGTGCAAACGGACACATATTCTCTTGTTCGTTAGAAGAGTGGATCATTACGAATTTCTTAATACACGAGTTGAGCCGACTGATAAGAGAACTGCAATCGTTGCAAGACGACACGATGGATGATGACAACGATAGTCAAGTAAAGTTAAGTCAAGTCAAGCCGAGCCTGTTGCTAACTTTCAACAACGTTTATTATAACTTCATCGATTTTCATCTTTTATTTTCCTTTATCTTTCATAACGTCGCCATGACTACTTATTAATATTATTCTTCATTTGTTTGTTCATGTTCTTTTAAGAAAACTTTTACTCCCACTTTCGTTTTAATATTTGACAAAGAAATAACGCATAATATGATGGCTAACAATAATTGAGATTATTTTTCTGTTTTGTTTTATTGTCTCTTCAAGAGTTTTTCTTTTCTTCTTCATCGTTTCTTTAGCACCAAAATACTTTTACAGTGATGTAATATACTTGTGAAAGACCTTAAAGGACTAAACAAGAAGTCGTAAAATTCTACTTGTAGGGTCTAGTTCTGTTAACCCACCACGTATTCCCATAAAGGACCTTTTTATTAGGTTTCTCTATTTCTTTTTTTCTTTCTTTCTGTTTTATAAATACAAAGAGATAGTAACAAAGAAAGAACAGAGTTCGGTATGGTGTTGGAAATCAATCGTATCTCTTTATCTAAACAGAGATTATCCAAATCCCCTTTCAACCATATTGTATTTCCTAGAATTTCTTTAAAATCACATAGAATAAATTTTAAATATTATTTCAAACTTTATAAGAGTTTACAGATTTAGAAATTACAAATAATTTTTTCTTTTATAATTGATTTATATTGTTAAATAATTTGTTCTTATATGTTAGAGATACATACATAAATGCAGTATCATTTTTTTTCGAGCGTATGGCACACGAAACCTCAAAGATAAGATATATTTCTGCGGTAAAACAAGTACTTCCTTGAATTATTTTTAATAAATGCAAGAATTATCTAATTTAATGTAATCTGCTTTCAAAGCGCATTAAATTTTCAATTACGTTTGCAAATTTCTATTTAGAATTTTGTAATATCTCGATAGTTTCCTTCCTTATCAACCTATCGATATATCACTACAAAAAAAAAAACCAAAACAACTCGTAAAATTACGTGGCACATAAAAGTATGAAATGACTTAGCACTTACAGATTGTTATCAATGTTACGTTACAAAAGTTGTAATATAAAAAAGCATTTATTAATGCTCATAACTCTTTGAGATATACAACTTAGTATTTAGAAAATTTTTAATGATAATATTAAACTATGCAATAACTATTTTTAATTAACATTGTTCGAATATACATACTTATAGATACGTATTAGGAATGTGTGACGAGACTTTAAGCATAATATAAAAAACAAGTTGAGAAAGTTATACTAAAAATTATATTACAAGTTATTAAACAAGACGATTGTTTGAAAAATTACCTAACAAAAAAGAAATTTGATTAAAAACTTTAGTAAGTTTCATTTAATAAATTTTCAAATCAAAAACAAATACAATATGCTCAACTATAATATCAGCAAGAAAGCAAGATTAAAAATAAAATTAAAAAATATTCATGCGATATCAAAGTCGAATAATGGTCAACATGAAATCTAATATCTTTCTTTTATGTTCATTACTTCTTCTATTATATTTATTATTTAAAAATTTGAATAAACGGGACTAACAAAAGATATCATTGTTAAAGAACAACAAGTTTTCAATCGATATTTACAACAAAAAAAATAAGGTTATTATATAAATATATAACAAAATAATTATTGTCAATGAAAAAAAAAAAAAGAAGAAATAAATTTCTATAAGCATGGGGGTTTTCGCGCAAGTAGTTACGCGACTGTGAAAACAAGCGCAAGCGCAACGGGTGATGCGCATGCGCCTAAAGATCTCGCGTGAGGATACCGAATGGTGATTGGTTGAACGAGTGTTCACCTCGAAGTTAATCGAGAATCGCAGCGATGTGCGGTTTGCACATTTCACCTTGCTAGAACGTAAGAGGCATCAAATTAGTGAGTGTTCAACAACTAGAGAGTGTTTCCCAGAATAGTTCTACGATTTTATTCGATTAGATTGTTCGAATTATAATAAATATTTCATCGTTCGCTTGGCATCGCATTTATTATTTGAATATATCGAAATGTAAGTATTATACAATGAAATTATTTGATGTTGAATTCTCAGCCATCTTTACCGGTATACGCGCGACGAGGACTTTATCTCTTTTGATATTAAAACATGCATTTGAATAATTCATTATAATCGTTAAATGGTTTCATTATTACTCATAAATATACTTTGTAAATTCAGTGTTAACGCGGATCGATCGAGCATCAACGACGCAACAGACGAACAATGCGACTGCGTCGTTGAAAACTTTTGTATCTGCAATATCTCATCGCGAAAATCATATCTCATGCTTCTATCTTTTATATCTTTGTATTTATTACAGATCTAAAAAGCAAAAGTCATTTTATTAATTTGGATCGATAAGCATATATTTTTATATAAGATAAATGTTAAACTTAGTCTAACTGATGGAAATACTTAACAAGAGACTTATTTCCAATAATTTTGATAATCATAAGTATTAGTGAAGGACGTTTTTGTTTTCCTTTTATTGTTTAGGGTTTTTTCATTTTTTTTTTCCTATTATATTGTCATGCAAATCGATTCTTAATCTTTTCTTTCATTTTTGTTGCCAAGGTTGTACACATTAGATATTTAAACAAAAAAAAATCAGTCTTATTTTATATTATTTATCCCACATTTAGGAAATTCGTATATTTCTATTTTCTTTTCTTATTGCTTATTCTAAAATTTGAAATTACGTGTATACTCATATATATAAACCCTATATTAAATAAATATATTTTTATATATTTATATTACTTCTTAATTACAGATTTTTTTAGATAAAAAAATGATTGATGATTGGGATAATGATAATAACTATCAAGAACCTGTTAACATGACTACGGTTAGTAAATTTGATCATAGACCAATATTAAAACCGTAATATAAATGTACATACAATGTATTATATATTAATTAATAAACTTATTCTTTAATAGTATGAGTCTGATGGTGGTCGAAGTTATGGAAGGGGACGTGGCTTTATAATGCATAATGACAATGGTAATAAGACTTCCAATTTTGATGATGTAAGAAATGGTAGAGATGGTGGCAGCAGAGGTGGTAACAATCGAAATGGTGGTGGTGGTGGTGGTAGATATGGAAAAGGATCTAATGGTGGATATGGAAAAGGTTCTAATGGAGGATACAGAAATGATAATAATAAAGAAGAGAACTGTTATGGAAATAATAACAGGGATGATTCTTGTGATTATGATGGCAACAGCGACACCAATGACAATGATAACAGATATGACAAAGAAAGAAAAGGAGGTGGTAGAAATAATAGAAATATGGATAATGATAGAAGAGATGACAGAAATGGTTATCGTAACAGAGGAGGAGGTAGTAGTGGTGGTGGTGGTGGTCGAGGTAGAAAGAGAGGAGATGATTCTAATAATGAAGATGGAGATGGGCAAGAAAAGCCAAAGGTAGAATTCTACATACCGCCTGATATAGATACAGATGAGAAATCTTTGTTTGAAAATGGTGTTCAACAAGGGATTAATTTTGAAAAGTATGATGATATTGAGGTATGCGTAAGCGGAGAGAATGCACCATCACATATAGAATCTTTTGAGGAAGCTGGACTACGACCATATGTTCTAAGTAATATTAGAAAATCAAAATATATAAAACCGACACCTGTGCAGAAATATGCATTGCCTATTATAATGAGCGGTCGAGATTTGATGGCTTGTGCACAAACAGGTTCAGGAAAAACTGCAGCCTTTGTAGTTCCAATTATAAATACTCTTTTAGAATCACCCAGAGAAAATGTGCATTCAGGTTGTGCGCCACAAGTTATAATAATATCACCAACGCGAGAATTAACCATACAAATCTACGAGCAAGTTCTGAAATTCTCAGCTGGTACAATTTTAAAAACTGTCATTGCATATGGTGGTACTTCGGTTATACATCAAGGAAACAGAATAAATGCTGGTTGTGATATCATAGTTGCTACACCAGGAAGATTAATAGATTTTATCCAAAGAAAACGTATTACGCTATCATCCATACGTTTTCTCGTTTTGGATGAAGCTGATCGAATGCTAGATATGGGCTTTTTACCTGATGTTGAGAAAATAATTGATAACGAAAATATGGTTCCCGTAGGAGAAAGGCAAACACTTATGTTTTCTGCCACATTTCCAGACGAGGTACAACTATTGGCTTCACGATTCTTAAGTAATTATCTATTCTTAGTAGTAGGTATAGTAGGTGGCGCGTGTACGGATGTAGAACAAAATTTCTATGAAGTTACGAAATATAAAAAACTAGGAATGTTAAAAGAAGTTATTGATAAAGAGATTGCAAATGGTAGACAACAGGGTACTTTGGTTTTCGTTGAAATGAAAAGAACAGCCGACTTTATCGCCGCTTTCTTATCAGAAAACAATTTTCCTACAACGAGTATTCACGGGGACAGATTGCAACGTGAAAGGGAAGAAGCCTTGCGAGATTTTCGCAGTGGCCGAATGTCTATATTAGTTGGTACAGCAGTTGCGGGACGTGGTTTAGACATACGAAATGTTTCTCACGTTATAAATTATGATTTGCCACAAGGAATCGATGAATACGTTCACAGAATTGGTCGTACTGGTCGTGTGGGTAATCGTGGAAAGGCAACATCTTTCTTTGATCCAGAAGTTGATAATCCATTGGTCTTTGATCTGGTCAAAATTTTGAAACAAGCAGATCAACCGATACCCGATTGGTTGTTGAGTGCAAGTGACAAAAATAGATCTTATACATCTGATATGTCCACATTTGGTGCAGAAGATATTCGTAATGTAAGTATAAATCATTGTACATTGCTTTTTAGTTATAACAATTATACGATTTTTTCATTAATTATATAATCAAATTAATTACAGTTCGGAGAAGAGGATAACGGAGTGCCGTACGATAAATCAGCGTATAACACTGTAGAGCCAGAGGAATCGTGGTAGAAAAGAAAGAAACAATACTGTTATACTTTAAAGAAGGATCTGACCAAAGTGTTTTGTATAAAGTAAGTTCTTTCAGAAAAAAATTTAACTTAACGGGATGCGCACCTACGTACTATTATTTAAGAGAGCCCTTAAAAATTATAAATTTTATTTTCGTAAAATCACATGACTTTTTGTTTTATTTTTTTATGTTAATATTAAGTTATGTTAATATTAAGAAATATTATTTCAATGGTAATTGAACGACTGTCATTTAAGTTCCTTTAAATAACATAATTCGTATTATTAGGAGGTAGACTCTTTAACATTGAAGAGATTTAAGAATTTAGGGATAAGTAAGAACGTGTTATCATTTTTTTTCCTATTTTGTCAATTATTTTATAGAATGATGGAAAAAAAACAAAACGAGATATATGCATTCCAAGAAAAATTTTGCGAAATGCATAATTATTACTACCATAGTAATTATCGTACAAATGTTAGATTTAAGAGACGATTGTTGCGTAGAAAAAAGAAACTTATTATAAAAACGTTAGTTTTGTTTTAAGTGAAATTGCGTTATCTTTATATAGTTTTTATACGTTTTTTTTTATAATAAAGTTATATAAAATAGATGAAGAATTTATCGTTCAAAAAGAACAAATTTTCCTTCGATTCTATACTTCCTAATATATATATATACATATGAAAGGTGTGTGCGTACAACGTAGATGATGATGATGACGATGATGATCATATCATAATATTAATATTAATAATAATAATAATATAACAATAAAATTAGTTAGAAAAGAAAATATTTGTAAAAAAACACCATAATCTGTTCTACTTACCGTCGTTCATTGCCATATCCATTAAATGCAAATCTTCGTCATTGAGAAGAGAGGAAAGAAAACCATCAGTGGTTTGATTTATCGAGTCTGACGTTGGTGCATGATAATACATTATGTCACTGGGTTCAGATTTATAAGCAGCATTACTTTCCGCCCCCATTGGCTCGCTACTGTTCGTTAGATTCATCGAAGTTGCAACGGCTGATCCAAGATTCGACGAACCACCTAAAACAATGAACAGTTTAGTTCAGATAAAAAGAAATCATTTAAAACGAATCATCTTATTTATAGATTGAGAAACTATCTTTTTTGTTTTGATATTTCTCTTTTTTAAATTAAAATAGTTAATCATTTTTTGTTTTTAAATATATACTCACCTACATTATGGTAGGGACCCGTCGAGTTAAGATCACCAACCGGTGGTGCCAGAGTGGCATTGTGAAGCAAAACATTACGTTGTGCCTCGTAATGACTATGACTTATAGTATGTCCAGGGTGGTATCCAGGATGCGATGGATGCGCAAAATGATCTGGAGCACCGGGAAGAGATAATAATGATGCCAAATCCTGCCACCGTTGCTCCATGCTCATTGCACGCACGAATGGCATGCGGCCCTGAGAAAACACAAATGGTACTATTAGAATTTATAAAATATATTATTAATTCTTACTTACTTACTTATATATATATATATTTATTTATTTATTTATAATAGTATAATAATACTCTGTTCGTTAATTTATATACGTGCAATATATGCACACTGTTGCTTCTAATACAAAAAACTAGAAACTCTTTCCTTTAGTAAGTCGTTTAAAAGAAGCATAGTTAATTGGTACGTTTATCGTACAGTAATTAACGTTTATTTTCCGTTAAATAATAGATCTAAAATTTAAACGGTGATAGCAGAAAATAGTAGTCGATACGTGCAAATTTTCGGGGCCGTCTCATTAACATTATGGTTAAAAAAAAGTAGTAACAAACGACGCTTAAGCTTTCTTGTTTTCTTTCTAGTTTAATACTCGTATAAAACTAAAACTAATAATAATCATTTGTAATATATTATAACAGGTATTTATTTTAATTTTTATAGTTCATTGGTATCTTACACATACACACACACACACATTCGTCGCAGTAAAATAAAAATTAAAAACATGTATTATATATATACACGTATAATATAAGTTCTTTTTCGAAGGCATCGTTAGTTAGATTTTTGTGAAATTTCATTCTTAACATAAGCGAAAAGCGTGTCACGTTTGGCATGGTATTATTGTCGAACGTATGATACATCCAGCGATTATATGCCTGGTAAGGAATCTAAGGCCATCGTACCTGTCAAATGTCAAGCAGATAAGACGCATGGATTTCTACGACGGTAGAAACCCCGCTGGTTGATCATCGTGTAGGCGTTGGTCACACGATGGAAGGGAACGTTAAGGTAAAGGATATTAATAGTGATACTAAATTGTATGCGTACATATACATACATCTTTTTATAATGTACGTGTGTTCCAAGTATACACCCCCCTCCTCTTCACCCCACTTTCCTTCTTTTCTTTTTCTTTTTTTTCTCCTTCAGGAGGAGGAGGAGGAGGAGGTGGTACGTCAATCACGATTTTACGTCACCCGTTACGAAGAAATATGATCCCGATTTTTGTCACGAGGGTGAAATAAAAGATATTATAAAAATAATAATAATTAATTATAATATTTAGATTAATTTTTTTTTATCACGAGATTATAACACCTATTAGAAAATCTACGATCTTAGACAAATGATAGAAACACGTTAAACGTAAGAAGATTTAATTGATCTGAAATATCTGAACCGATCCATATTCCGACAAAGTAGAAATTTGTTAGCAAGAAATAAGAGTTCAGGATTTAATTTTACGATGCGATATCCTTAAATGAGAGGAAGGTATTGAGAATTGGTGGTTTGAAAAAAAGAAAAAAGAAGAGAAACAAATGGTCAGTAGTTGGGCCCATGTTCGGGGTCCATGAACGTGGCCGACGGTACTTAATGCACTCAGGTATTGTCGCTAATGTGCGAAGAAGTACAAGAAGAAAAAGAAGATGAATAGGGAAGAAGCTATGCTTTGCTTTCTTGCTTGCTTGCTTGCTTGCATCTTCTCTCTCTTGGTGCACACCGGTTGTTGTTGGATCGTTGTTGTACGGGTGCATCAATCAGTCGTCGTCGGTGCAATCTGTCGAGTGCGACGCCTTTAAAGCGATTCTCGCTTGTCAGCGCATCTGCCGCGAATCTCTCGTTTCTCGTTTGGTGTTTCTCGTATCTTCTTCGTGTAAGCCGCGAAATGTAGGACGAGAGAAAGAAGAAGAAGAAGAAGACACGTTTGTTCCATGCCGACTGACTATTCCGATTTGTCCTATACATTTCTAATAATTTTTTTTACCTATGCGACCTGATTATATCTGATTTTATACAAAACTATCTAAATAAATCCTAGATAAATGTGATTTTTCAGATAGGTAAAAAAGAAGTGCCGAATAATATTTATGCATCTATTCTTCTTCTTGATTACTTTTACCGTGCTTGTAAGAAAATTCTCTGTGTGTGTGTGTGGTTTTTTTTAGCACCACAGCACTTACATTTAATTTCATATTATTATATACTCGTATACGGATAATAATATTTATTATACGAGTTTAATGAAAAAAAAAAGAAAAAAGATAAGAAAAGAAACACTTAGAACAGGATGAATGAGAGATCTTACACAAATGCACACTTATATGACTTTTTTTGTTGCTACTGTTGTTTCCTATCTATCTATCTATCTTTCTATCATTCTCTCTGTAATGATAACAGAAGTTGACTATTAATTTATACTTGTCAATCTTTGTAATATCGTAAGAATTACATAGTTCTATGAGTAATCGAGGAACTCTATAAATCTCGTAACGTTTTCTCTTAATAATTTAACAACTCGAACGGATTCGACGGATACGGGACGGCATCTTACCGGTGTCAGTCTTTGGATTTATAAATAAAAAAAAGAAGGAAAGAAAAAGATCATTGCGGTAGAGAAAGAGAAGTTAGTTGGTTGAGGGACGAAGATCGAACGCATACCTCCTCGGTTTGCTACTGGTGGTACTTTTATGATTTATGTTGCGGCGTAATATATACTGCCGTGTTGTGTAGTTGTAGTAGTAGTCATGTGTACTTACATGCACGATATCGTTTCGTAGAGAAGAGACGTACGCGATCTCGTCAGCGAGAAAATCTGCAAAGCCGCGAGGAAAGATATCTTCTCTTCTCTTCTTATGAGCAGATGTTTGAAATGCGTACAACTGTCGAGAGAACCGACCCAACTGAGTTTACTTCCTCGAGTTCTACTCTTTCTAATTTTGTTCTTCTTCTTTATTATTATTATTATTATTTATTTTATTAAATAATAATATCTGAAACGCGTGTCAAGTTATTCCGTACAGATAAATCTCACGTTAAACGCTTAACATTGACAAATGTGTTCCCCTTTTCTTATTTAATTTCATCTATTTTTGTTATCCTAAATGTTTATCATACTTTTGTGTTATTTTTCTTCTTTTTTTATTTATTATTTAATTATTTTTGCAAATATTATTTCAACCACGTGTCAAATTATTCGTACAGATAAATCTCACATTGACAAATGTTAACTTTCAAAAATGTGTTCCCCTCCCCACCCCTCTTTTTTCCTTATTTAATTTCGTTTATTTTTCTTATCCTAAATGTTTATCATACTTTTGTGTTTAGGTTACAATCATAGGGTTTGTAGTATACATCCTATCGGAGTTTCTTCGAGGATGATCAATCGACCGTCTTGACACCTGCCATCATCCTTTAACCTGGCATCTACAACAACGAGAACGAATATGACGAAGACAACGAGAAGGATAACTACGACCAGGACGACTATGGGTGTTCTTCGATCGAGTCCACCTTTCACCTTAGAACACACTATGTCCACCGTGTTTTCATACGTGACTGCCGGTCAAAGCTCGTTTCCGTTCACAAAGTTGTGAATGAAAATATTGATGAAACCAAATGCGAGACAGTGGTGCTGGTGCTGTTACTGCTGCTGTTGCTGCTGCTTGTCGCATTATTCCCCTTCGCGTTCCATACCATAAGGAATAGCACAAATATTTTTATGCTTACCACCACCATCACCACCACCACCATTTCAACTCATCTCTCTTTTCTTTTCTTCTTTTCTTTGGGAGATAAACGACAGCACGCGCGTTTCTATTTTTTTTTTATTAAATATTTTATATTACATATATATATATATATTAAATATAAAAACCACGTACTACCATCTATTACCATCATCATTTTCTCTATAGAGTTTAGATGGGAACGCGGAGACACGGCGAGTTTTCTTTCTTTTAATTCGCTCGCGACCTCAATGATAGCTCGAGTAACAGCAACAGCAATAGCAACAGCAGTAGCAAAATACACCGACGGTGAATTCGTTTCGCACATCCTAGACGTCCCGCGTACCAAACGCGCATTATGCATTTCACAGTGCATAAGTCCTGCAGCTGCCTCGGAATCCCGTCGCGTTTCTCGACTCTTCGTGAAAATTGCTCGACAGACACACAGAGATGAGAAAGACAAAGACAAAGAGAGAGAATTCATAGTCTTGGGATCTAAAAACTAAAGTATGTTCATTCGTTATTTTATCGTACGAACTAATAGAAAAGAAAAATGAATAAAAAATAAACACAGAATCAAACAAAGATGGTGGGAGGGGGTGGGTGGGTGGTAAGAAAGAAAAATTGTTATTCTTTCCAACCAATGATCGTTAATATATACTCAGCGAGTAATATTTTGTATCGACAACTCTAGCGCCAATTGGAATAATTTAGAAATATTTCGAACAAATGAAAATAAGTTAAGCATTGTTTCCCAAGGTAAAGTCAGTCAGTCAGTTTTCCCAGTAGAAATAATCGATAATAGTTAAGTGTGTCGGGTTAAGGTATGAGCTAAAGAGTTTCGAGTTATCGACAAAACGTTAAGCAATTAAATGTTGCACGACTTAACGATACAACCACATATATATTATATAGAACACTTAATACATATACTAACGGGCTCGGAAAGCTCATGAACATTATTACTCATGGATAGTATATACTATCTCATGGCTAATGGGCCACGATATTAATTATGATTCATTTAGATAGTCATCGGATTAATGCACGCTCACATGGGTTACTTCAGAGACGAGCTCAAACCAAGACGACCACCGAGTATCGTTACTACAAGTGCATCCTAATGTCCGAGCCCTCTTCTCTTCTCTTCCTTCTTCCACTTCCTCTTTTCTTTTTTTTTCTTTATTTATTTATTTCTTTCTTTTTATTTCTCTCTCTCTGTCTCTTTTATTTTCATATTACGTATCTCATTTTCTCTTATTAATTTTGTCCCAGGACTCTAAAGCTCTTTTACTCTCTCACGTACTCTTCGTATTTCTATTTCTTTAACCCTTATCCATTTCTCTTCTTCTTATTCTTCGTTATAAGAGTCTCTCTCTCTCTCTTTCTCTCTCTTTGTTCTCTTTTTTGTTTTCTTATTTCATTCATCCGATTTTTCTCTTCACTCCAATCCCCTAACTCAAATGTTGTCCGTAAATATTATAAGAAGTTGAAGAATATTTCGAGGGCCCTGCTACGAAACTGAAGGTTCTAAGCAAATATCCAAGTACTATGGTAAATAAAACGCGCTACCGTCCCACAGGTATAGCAAATCTTTGAATTGTCCGTATAGGAGATAGAATATGCGAAGGATAGATACCATTAACCATCATATTATAGAGTGGCTAAAGGTCGGTACAGTGCTTTTAGATTTCTTCGTTCGAAAGACAAGGTTTAAAATATTGTTTTCCTTACTGTTCATAAGTTTTTTTTTTATTGTTAAACATTGCTGTTAACGTTTACGTTTCAATATTTACCGAAACTTTTCAAAGAAATTGCAA